ACCCGGCCGGCAGCAGGCAGCTTGGTGCAGCGCCCAAAACAGGAGTGCACAGGCACTGCACGCGGAGCAGGGATGCTTGTGTTCGTAGGCCCCACGTCACAGCCCGGGGATCAGGAATATTTGACAGCGGGGTAGAAGTGCTGAGTGGTGTGGGTCTCAGCCAGGTAAAGCAGCAAGTGAGGATATGGAATGTTTTACTAAATCTCTTTTTTCTCCTCCCCTTCTGTGATACTTTAGGTGTGTATTGTGCAGAAGAGAGACACTGAGAAGATGTATGCCATGAAGTACATGAACAAACAGCAGTGCATCGAAAGAGATGAGGTTCGCAACGTGTTCAGAGAGCTGGAAATCCTGCAGGAGATCGAGCACGTGTTCCTGGTGAATCTCTGGTGAGCGTCTCCTCCTCTCTGCCTTCTGGGGCCGCCTGCCCTCAGGTGCTTGCAGACCCACATTCTCCTCATCCTCTGTGGGTCATGGACATCTGTGGGAGAAACCCAGTGAGCTGCTTCCGTGGAAGTCCACAATAACATGGAATGCGTTCAGGAAACATAGCTTTACACAGAAGCTATCAAAACGTTATGGCATCAAACATTTTAAAACAGCTTAGCTTCTCTTTTTCCGTCAAAAACCTTTGTGTGTTTGTTGGGTGTTTTTCACAGCCTTCTTGCAAATGCCACTACCAGGTCCCTCCTAAGGGACCCCCTGCCAATTTAACTGTAAAGTATTTTTGTACCATGGCGTGTTGGTGTGTGCAGTTTGACTAAGGTGTCTTGGGGCAGTACGATGCTCCCTGTGATTGCCATTAAAGAAATAGTCCATCTCACGTGCATGGAGATACTGAGAACTGTGACAGTCTGTGGTGAAGCGGATACTGCGTGGGGCCAATTTTTGTAGCAAATAACAGCTTGAAAAGTCAAAGAAACTAGCATTTTTAGAGGCGATGATTTATAACTTTTATTAGTAGAAAAATTATACAAAATATATAGTGTTTCACACAGAAGGTGTTTGGTCCCTCTAAAGGACTCGATCTCGCAGAGATTGTCTAATAGTTTAAATAAACAGAACTGCTCTCAGCCATAGCTAGTGTGTTCAGCAGAGTGTTACTGAGATAGGTCCTAACTCGAGAGGTTTTAGCGGGTGATTGAAAGCTGTCCTGACCGTGTTTGGGTCTGCGCAGGCTTAGGGTGTCATTGAGGCAGGTGGGCAGTATTTCCAACCCAGCGGTTTTTGAGATTGCCTAAAAATTTGTGCAGCCACAACTACAAGGAGAAAATAGTAAATGTGAAATAAAGGCCATGCTTACGTGGAAAATAATGGGTAAGCAAAAATGATATACTGTGTAAAAAATGCAAGGAAGGGCATCTGCAATGCATGGTGCACAGTAATCTTCTTCAGAGATTGCAAGGGTTATGTTACTGCTGAAATGTGTTTTGTAAGGCTAGAATCAGTGCCTCATGGATGGCTCCCTGATTTCATAGTGTCGGAAGAGGGGCAGAAGCAGCGGTTTTTCCCAGGGAGGCAGCACACCTCGGATGGCCAGACCAGCTGAGCCTTGGGCAGCCAGCTGGCCGCGGGCCTCCCCTCCCTCTCCGGCCATGTCGGATGTGCAGCAGGCTGGACGGCGGGAAGATTTTCAAAAATTCAGAAAGTTTTATATGCAAAGTTGATAATACTTTATGTTCTTTTTGTTGATCTGTTACTCCAGGGTAGCCAAATAAGTTAATATTTATTTTTTCAGCATTTTAGCAATTGCATTTTTTTTTTTTCCAACAAGTAATGAAATTCTTAAGAAAACTTGCTCTAGTAGCAAATTTTTCCCTTTCAGCTCATACTTTTAGAATAAACCTACGTTTAAGATGAGAGCAGAAGCGTGTGATTCATAAGTATTATACAATCCCACACGCTCTTTCCTTAGAAATACTGTCGCCAAATATAACAATTGAATGTTGTTTTGTAGTGTATCCTCACTGCTGTCAGTCTCCTGCGGGATCCACTGCAGATTTAGAGAGGCGTTTTACTCTACAGTAAATACAAATCTCTTTTTCTGATTTATATGGTTAAATTAGCACTTGTGTTTTCCAATTCTTTTTCAGGATAGGCAGAGATATTTTAAGAATAGGTTTATCAGATTGTTTACCATTGAAAATGTGAAGTTTGTCTGAAGTGACTGGCCAGCAAAGCCCCAGCTCTGCCTGCAGCTCTGCCTGCAGCTCTGCCTGCTGGAGGGGTTACTCGGCAGTGCTCGGGAGGTGACGGTGGCAGGACGAGCCTCTTCAAAGGAAGTGTTGCTTAGTGTAGCAATAGGTTAAAAAACAAGACAGCATCTTGAGTTGCGCTTGCTTAATTAGAAAGGTGTAAACACCAAAGCGGGCATATGTTCATAGTGGGAATGTTTCCAGTTTTCACAGGAGCTGTGTAATTAGGAGAGGGAAAAAGCCTGACTTGGCTTTGTGACTCCTGTGAGGCTCAGCCTGCTAGCTCACATGCTGCCGGTCCTGCAGGTACTCCTTCCAGGACGAGGAGGACATGTTCATGGTGGTGGACTTGCTCCTCGGAGGCGACCTGCGCTATCATCTGCAGCAAAACGTTCAGTTTACGGAAGAAACGGTCAAACTCTACATCTGTGAGATGGCGCTGGCTCTTGACTACCTACGAAGTCAGCATATTATCCACAGGTAAGCACGCTGTCTCTTCCTTGCAGTCGGCAGCCGGTGGCAGCTGCTGGTGGCTGGTTTGGGGTGGGCGACGCTGTCTCTGCTGCAGTGAGGCCCTTAACCCCATCGGTACCCCAAGTCGGGGAACTGCTGGCGTTGAACCACACCAGCAGTGCCGGGCCTGGGCACCCTCCGGCTGCTGGTCTGGCTCCCCATCACTCGGAGGAAGCCTCACGCTTCGCCGGGGGCTGCAGGCGCCTTCCAGGGCGGTTTCAGAGAGATCTCACAGCAATAGGCCGAGCCTCGTGGTGCTAATTTGCCTTAGAAATGATGCCCAAACAAGTCAGATGCTCCCACTTTTTTGCTCAGTTGCCCAGGAAAAGCATATTTCTAGGCCGTCATAAAGGGACTTGTCTCATGTTAGGGTATTTTTGTTTTATTTGTTTCTAATTTTTGATAGGTAAAGAAGTTGCAGGTTTTTTGTTATTGAATTGCATCCTTGATCTGACTGGGATTTCATCTTGCTGTAACCTTGCTTCTTTTCCCAGAGATGTAAAACCAGACAACATCCTCCTCGATGAGCAAGGTAGGATCTCTCTGCCTTGCTTTGTCTGCCTCCTTCATTTGAGGGACAGATTCTTTACAGTCCTGAATACTCTGCGTCTTTTTATCTGGGAAGAGTGTGGAAAAGGCACCGCTCCTCCTAACTGATCAGTGTTTGGTTGGATGTACCTGTGCACCGTAATGCCAGGGAAGATCCACCAAGGGCCCCTCTCCTCGTTACCCCGCCTCGCCTCGCCCACGCTCTGCCTCCTTTCTCGCTAGTGCCCCAGTGCACGGGTCGCCCGTGCCAGAGATGCGGTGCCTGGCATCGAGGGCACCGAGCCCAAGGACTGTCTTTGTTGAGTTTTACAGTGAGTGACCTGCACATACACTTTTAGGACAGTTTTGATGTCTTCCTGGGGGATGGATCTGGGCTGAGCCAGGTGGAGCGAGCTCAGGAACCTCAGTGGCCTACACAGGAGACATACCATAGGAGATCCTATAATGACCTCCGTTCCAGTAGTAGATCTTACAAAAGGAAGACACAGTCTCTCAGGCTCCAAGCCATCTGAGTTTTATCATAAAGCCTCATAAAAACCAAAGCTTGCACTTGCATGGAAGTTCATTAGAAAATAGCGCAGGGTATAAAGGGAAAAAAGAGATGTAAGGAAAGACTTCATAGGACAAGGCAGTCTGTGATTTACACACCATTTTCATAGCTGCCTTGTAGATAGACAGCAGAAAGTAGCTCCAGAAGGGGAAGTGGGTGGGTTTTCTGTATACCAGGCTGGCTTGAAAATAATGACCTTTTCTGAATTTTAACTTTCAGTCCTGATGACAGAGAAAGTAGGAACAAAGAGAAGGTGTTCCAGCACTTTTAAAAAATATCTTGATGATTTCTTCGTACAGCCTTAGGGTATGGGAAGTATTGTTATGATTTCATTCAAGTGACATGTCCAAATTTGCTGTTGTCTGGTACAGAGTGGCAGTGGAGTGTTTTAGCTCTGGGACTTTGGGGTAGTCATGGTTCAATGGCTTTCATCAAAAATGGTTCTAGGGTTTAATCAATGCGACCAAGGCAATATCTTAGTATAGTGTTTCCCTTGTCTTCTTCACTGGCTGTAATTTCTGGCTAGAGCAATTTGACCAAGTGCTGGAGCTGGTATAGGTTACTATTTCGCTCCAAGTGCAATTTAAAATCAAGCCCCAAAGCTAGGTACCATTTAATCACCTGGCCAGCCTGAGATCCTGGGAAGGCTACAGGATCTGTTATGGCCATTCGGTGGGGTCTGACCCTGACCTGCCTGCACCCGTGCTACTCTGTCTGAGGGCAGAAGCTTATGAAAAGAAATGTGTTCTGACTCTACAGTGCCAATGTTCTGCGCTGCGATTAATTCCTTCTTAAAATGTGTCTTTATTTAAGGTCATGCACATTTAACAGATTTTAATATTGCAACAATAATTAGGGACGGTGAAAGAGCAACTGCGTTAGCTGGAACAAAGCCATACATGGGTAAGAAATAATAGCTGTTCCTTACGTCTGTATTTTACATTTCAGTATGCTCACCGCATGCCGCCTGAAAGTCCCTGTCTGTGACAAAGGCACTGAATTAATTTAGCATGTTAATGCATGTGCACAAGTCATTCAGCAGAGCCCGATCATTTGAAAAGTGAAACTCCCAGAGTGAATGGATCTCTGCCAGCACACCCTCTCCATCCCGCCCTGCCTTCCCCAATGGCCCCAGGCTGGGACTTGGTGCGTCCCGGCGGGCGCTGGGTTTCTGCCGTCCCTCACCCGCTCGGCTGGGAGGGCTCTCCCCGTGTGCACCGGATAACCCAGCTGCCCAGCGAGGGCAGGCCTGCTGCTGCTGCTCCTGCTGCTCCTGCTGCTGCTGCTGCTGCTGCTGCTCACCATGGCTTGCAAAGCCTCCCCTCAGGCAGTAGTGCATAAAAATAACCATAAGGTTTACATACTGACTTACAAGAAATTGAAATAGAAACAAACTGAAGTCAGCGAATAACCTGTTGCATTTTGCCTTTTCTATTCAGCCCCGGAGATTTTCCATTCCTTCCTGAACGGCGGGACGGGCTACTCCTTCGAGGTTGATTGGTGGTCGTTGGGAATCATGGCTTACGAACTGCTGCGGGGCTGGGTAGGGCTCCCGGACGGTCCGAGGCCTAAGAACGCGCTTTCTGATTGACTGCAGAGAGGAGAGGGAATTTCTTCTCATCTTTCTGCTTTTTTCCCCCAGAGACCGTACGACATCCATTCCAACAACCCTGTGGAGTCTTTAATTCAGCTCTTCAGTACTGTGAGCGTTCAGTACTCGTCTGCATGGTCGAAAGAAATGGTTGCTCTATTAAGAAAGGTAAATAGTCCTGCTGGCATGGTTTACATTGCACATTAGCCGCAGTGCGTGTGAGACTAGCTGGAAAATTTTCAGCATATTAATAAATAATGTAAAATTGAAATAGGACTAATTTTTATGACTTTGTTCAGGCTTAAGCACAGATTAATCTTGTGTTTTGTTTGTTTATTATCCCTGTAATAAGATGCATTATTTTTGACAGCAAGGGAAGGAAAAAGGCTGGTTTTGGTGTGACGATCAAATCCTTACCTGGGCTAGAACTGTGCCCTTCCAGCATCCCCTCATGTGATCGTTGTAACCTAAAAAGGCAGCGATCATGGCTGAGACGGCCGTGTGAGATGGAGGAGCGAGTGCTGCCCCTGCTGCATCAGCTGATCTCTCTCACCAGTTCTGCTGGGCCGAAGGGTCTGATTCGGTGTGTTCGGTTGTGAGAACTGTCTGGGGGGGGTTTCCACATCTATGGGACAGTCTGCTGCTTTCATTGTACTGTTACACGAGAAAGTTGTTGATCTGGTGTGGAGGCTGTAGTTTTAGGTTCTGCTTGCTTGAGAACTCAGAAAAGTAGCTGATGAGTGTGCCATAAAAAAGATATACACGGTGCTGACAGCAAATAAGTGACTCCGATGTAAGTTAATGTTGGATGGACAATTTACATAATTAGATTTTGTTTTAATGAGAAGCAGTGTTGTTAGTTATGACTGCAGCGGAGCATTTGGCAAGTTCACATTGCCATCTGCTGGGCTGCCGGCAGTTGGGCTTCTAGAGACGGGGCAGGAATTAAATGTCTCACCAGGAAAATGCCAGCAGCCACCTCAGCCGAAGGACCCCCCGTGTCCCCCCGGTGCGCTGGGGTTTCTGTAGCCCTGCCCGCTGGGGCAGCCCGGGGGCTCTGCTGGTGCCCAGGGGCAATGCCGGGCGCTGCATTGCCCACCCGCCCGCCGGGG